GGGGGGCCGGGGTGGGAATGGGGAGGCGGCCGCGGGCCCAGGGAGAAGCCCAGACAGCAGGGCGGGGGGCGGGGGCAGTGGCCCCTCCAGGAGAGCACCGCTGAGCATTACCTGGGGACCGGCTGGAGGACCTGGACGCTGCGCGCTCCCTGGACTTGTAGGGGTACTTGAGGGTGGTGTCCAGCTGCTTGAAGCTCTCCTTGAGCGAATGGCACTGGTAGTACTCCACCAGCTCCTGCGGGCGCGGGGCGCTGAGCGCTGCCACCCCTCCGGGCAGCCCCCCGGGGCGCCTCCTCAGGTTCACCCGGGGCTCGGCTCACGCCTAGCACTGCCCCCGCAGGCGGCCGGTATCACAGAGACTGCCGACCCGGCCGCCTGCTCCCCAGCCTTAGAATGCAAACACCGGGAAGGACGGGGCCTGGCAGAGGGGAAGCCCCGCGCCCCGCTCTCCAGGGGGCACAGTGGGGCCTGTGTGCGCCACACCGGGGAAGAGCTTCCAGCCGTCACAGCGCCCGGCTGGGCGGGAGCCGCACCCGGGAGGGCGGCCGGGACGCACCCAAGGTGCTAACGTGGGTGTTGGGGGACTACAGACGCTGGCCCCGAGGTCAGGGCAGCCGGCAGGGAGAAGCAGCAGGCGGCATTAAACTGGCCTGGGGCGGGCGAGGCGGGGGTGGGGGGAGGCCGGAGCCTCGGGGTCACCTACCAAGAGGCTCTCAAACTTCTTGGCCTCCGTGATGTGGACCCAGCTGTCCTTCTCCACCACCTTGATGTGCTTCACCTCATCGTTGAACCTGGGCGGAGCCCAGCGGTCACCCCTCGGTGGGGCCAGGACCCCTGACCCCAGCCCGCGCCTCCCTGGCCCCCTCACCCGCTGGCCCGCTTCCCCATTGCTGGCGAGGCCATTACAGCTGGGCTGGGTCAGTCTGACCCGCCCCCCGGCCCTGGGCGCCGCCCACCTGGTCCCACACGTCCGTTGCTGCACCCTCAGCGCCGGCCGCCGGCCCCCCCACCCCCGACTCGCCCTCGGCCTCCCTCTGGCCCGTGTCTCCAGCCCGTCGCCACCCCAGTGCCACCTGCGGGAAGCGCCTTCTCCGCCCTCCACCGGCGGGGCAAAGCCGAAGGTATCGCGAGAAGGGCCGGCCTCAGGGCCACGGACGCAGGGCCACGGACGCAGGGCCCCGGCCGGCCGGCTCACAGCCCTCTCCCTGCCCCCGCACAAGCTGAACCTGTGGGAGGGCTCAGCCTGACGGCACGTTCCTGGAGCACAAGGCTGGCTGGACACCTGGGCCTCGTGGAGAGGCAGCTGGCAAGCGAAGGAAAGCTGGCTGGCAGTGTCCACTCTGGGAGCCCCGCGGGGCTCTGTCCGGCCGGGACTTCAAGACTCAGCTGAGCGCGTTCACCCCGCCCCAGCCCCTCGGGGGCAAGGTCGTCAGAGCTCCCCGGACAGCTCCGCGCACCAGGGCGGAGGCCATCTGTGAGCTCCTGTCAGGCCAGCGACATTCCGTCCACTGCACGGTGCCGGCCGCCGGCCTCTGCCACGGACCTGCCTACGGGCTCCGCACCCCATTCTCGCCCCAAGTTGTCACCGTGGAGGTCCCACCACACTGACACACCTCAGTGCCCCACATCCTAGGCAGGCACAAGAGAAGTCCCGAGGACCAGGTCACCGGTCACACCTAGCTGACCTCTCGCGGGACGTTTGTCACTGTCCTGTCGGACTTCTTTGTATCTTGCATCTGGAGCCTTGTGCCAAGGCACCCGTGGGCCTGGCAGTCCGCCCGGGCCCCGGCGGCTCAGACGCTGCCTTTACCCACCGCACGGCCCTGGGTGGCCAGGGTGCCCTCGGCAGCTGTCCCCAGAGGGATCCAGCCCGCTCGCCCGGGCCGCAGACCGCTGCCCCCTCTCGCCTCCGAAGCGCCTTGCCTGGGGCCTCCCTCAGCGACACCAGCCCGGGGCCCGGGGCCGGGGGTCCGCACTGGCCGAAGCCCCGGGCCGCCACGTACTTGATGCTGATGGCAAAGCGCTCGGCCTCGGCTGGCCGCTCCCTGATCAAGTAGGTCCCGCTGGCGTGGGACTTGAGCAGGCTGTCCGTCTGCTGGCGCTCCATGTTGCCTGCGAACCTGACGCGGGTGGACGATCAGGGGCGGGGAGCCCCTGTGCCGGCCCCCCTCGCCGCAGCCCTCGGGTCTCAGGGGACAGGGCGGCTTCGGGACAGTCCCGGAGAGCCCGAGGACAGGGTCTCAGCAAGGGGCCCCAGGAGGAGCGGCTGCCCAGGCCGTCGCCGCCACCCCCGCAGGCCGTGACCAGGGCCGCGCAGGAGAGCAGGCCCGAGGCCGACGTGCTGAGACCTCACTGCCGCCAGGCGGTGGGCCGGCCGCCTGGCTCCCTCCCGTGGGCCCGGGGGCGCCACTCACCACGGGTAGACGGTGTAGTCGATCTCCCGGGACGGCGGCCGGCTGACGGGCGGCTGGCAGGAGAGAAACCGGGTTAACCTCCCCTGGCCACCTGCAGCGCTGAGCCCGGAGGGGCCCGTCATCGGCGAGTTGGCCCCACCAGTGCCCAGGCGTCTGGACCTGGCTGCACGCCGCGGGCAGACTCCAGGCACCGGCCCGCTCGGTGGGGCTGACGGTGACCGAGCGAAGCAAACAGCAGCCCCAGGGCCAGGACCCAGGGCCGGGGGACGCCAGGCGTCCTTAGCCGTGGCCAGGGTCCACTCTGTGGCGGTGGCCCCAGACTCTGGCCCGCACAACCCCTGGGTGGGCAGTGGCTGCGCGCAAGCCGGCCCTGCGGTCTCCCCCTGGCCTCCCCACACGGCCAGAGCCGCATTCACTACACAGGCCCGCAGCACAGCGGGGCTGCTTCCGCTGCTGGCCACCCTGGCCCGGCAAAGCCTGCGCAGACGCAGTGCGGGGCGGGCTGAGGGCCTGGGCAGGGCCTGCGGGGGGTGGGGGTCATTCCCGCTCCTCCTGAAGTCTCCTCTGGCCTCCAGGGCTTTCCGCTGGGGGTGGGGGAGGGGCGGCACGTTTAGGCTGACTGACCGTTGCTCTGGCCCCGCAGCCCAGTTACAGGCGCCCTGCCCGCCTCTCAGGCCACCAGGCCTCGCGGCGAGCCCTGCTTTGGGGCATCCGCTCCTGGGCGCAGTGGTCTGGTAAGACCTGGGGTCCACCCACTGGGATAGACCGTTCAGGTCTTTAAGCCCCGCCCCCAGCAGTCCATGGTCGCGCCTTGGGCAGGAGGCCCCGCCCCAGCAGTCCATGGGCGGGGATTGGGCAGGAGGCCCCGCCCCAGCAGTCCATGGGCGGGGCTTGGGCAGAAGGTCCCGCCCCCAGCAGTCCATGGGCGGGGCTTGGGCAGGAGGCC